GCAGAGTGTATCAACCACCAATGTTGAAATCTGAAATGCCTTTGTTTGGTGTTGGAACAAAATGTGCTCTTGCATAATTATAGACATCGGTTGCTACTGACAACAACAAACACAGCCAGCCTGCAGTAGGTTTATTATTAAAATAAACAACACTGTTACATGCAAAACTAGGGTGACACTTGGAGTGGGACATACCACCCCATGCCACTGCTGAAAACATCCAACTCCTTTTAATTTTTTTTAATGCATTAGCTTATCTGGCTAAAGCTAGCTAGCTGACTACAGCTGACTACAAACTAAAGCGAAGATAAACTCGAGGAACAAACTAAAAAAATGACTCATAACTCATAACATCTCAGTAGCCTAAAGTAGCTTTTATCACTTTAATGATACTTTGTTCGCAACTTTTTTATGACACTCTGTAAAATATCCTCCATTGCTTTGTCTTAACTTTATTTATGTTTTATTTTATATGCAGAAGTTTACTCTGTTGCTTTCTTAAACCCTCCTACAAACTCTGGTGCTGCTCACATTTCAGTTTTCTGCAAATATTTAGTGAGCAATATTTGCACCTTCCATTAAATATTAGCATGTTGTATCATTTTGCTCTTTGTTTGTATCCTTTTCTGTTGTGAAGACAGATGAGATGTGTTTGATTCTTAAGGTCCTGGTGACCATGAGATTATTTTATAAATGCTTTGCAACATAGAGATTGTCCTCATTTTAGATGAAATAACACACAATACTTAATTAACAACTATTAACTGCTTGAATTAACCATGAATTACTAAAGATTTAACGTTTATATCTATGTTTATAAATGGCACACGCAGGTGGATTAATGGTTCATAAATGACGAATAAACTATTAATGAATCCATTACTTGTGCTTAATAGTGTGTCGTTATTATAAATTGTTACAGTTTTATCTTGCTATTTCATAACACAAAAAATAAGCATTTGTTAACAAAACATAAACTAAAACTGATGGGAATGTCATCAATGTGGTAGATAGAGGCACATTTACATTTTGACTAATGGTGCCGCAGGGCTTAATTTGACCATGACTAAACCAAATTTATATTAAGCAGGAGGTGACATATTTCACAGCAAAAGTGAAACTTTTCACTAGTTAATGTTAAATAGAAATTAGAAAGGGAAATCATCAGACAAATAAGCCTGGTCAAAACTGCTGGCGCGGCCAAAAGATAGTCACTACAATCCCTGAAATCTTAGTGAGCCTGCTGGATTGAAACTTCACTGTTATGGTTGTTTGATAGATACTCCCAAAGGCTCTGGCCCTGCCTTTTTGGCTGGTATCACGCAGACTTGGCCTTCCACCGATCCTGACATATGCAGATTCAGTTTTAGCCAACTGGAAGTTAAAGGATCCCACAGGGTAATCCTTTTTCTTATTTAATGCCAAAATATTAGGCAGTCTCGTTAAATGCAATAATAACCTCACAGTGAAATTCTAATAATTGCTACTTCTTTCTTTTACTTTCATTTCAGGGATATGAGAATTGGGTAAGTATCACTCTGGACTGTTATGTAATCTCATGTGTCATGTGGTTTTTACTCATTTGTTTGCTAAATATTATTTTTAAAAATAGGAACATGGACCTGATATTTTCCTTCCCTGGTGGTGACACTTGCAGGGGATTCTTTATTGTGTCACTGCTGGTTGAGATGGCGGCTTCACCCGGCATAATGGTTAGTATTACTTCTTTTGAAGTCTTTCTGAACATTAGCTTGGTGTTTTCAATTTCTCTATTCCCTGGTCCACAAACTGTGTGTGCTTTTGCCACTTGTAACTTGGTAATGCTGTTTAAACCTTTGACTTTAACCAGGGGGCGCTGGAGGTGATGCGCGCCATTAAAGTCTCTGACCTCGCTGGGATAAAAAATGGCCTCATCAAAGTAACTCAGTCTTTAAAGAAGATGAAGGAAAAATTCAAATTTATGCACAGTAAGTTTGAATTAAGGCTTGCTCACATGAATTTAATCACTTTACATGCTGTGCTCTTTTATGAAGACAGAGAAATTCAAGGTAATTAGACAACTGAATCTGTGCTATTTCCAGATCACGTGGAGCCAGCTGCATTTCATGGAAAATTGAGAATTTTTGTCTCAGGGTGAGTTTAGCACTGCTACAGTGTTCTCCAAACTAAGGTTTTCAAGGTTTCAGTATTTCTCTCATGCAGATTTATCTCAGTAAAAGTTATCTTCTTATCTGTTTCTATTGGTGCACTTTATATTTTATAGGATAACATCTGAAATCGTATCATACATATTTAAATTCATGTACATCTATTAAAAGGAGGCTTGCAGTATAGGTTTTTTGTTTGAATTGTTTTAGATGGAGAAACAACCCAATGCTTCCAAGGGGGGTGATGTATGAAGGTGTGAGCGATGAGCCTATTTTGTTATCAGGTGGGAGTGCTGCCCAGAGTTCAGCTATTCAATGCTTTGATGCTTTGCTGTGCATCCAGCATGAGGAAGAGACAGGTAAGCATGCATTGCCTTCAACCTTTGACCCCTTCAGATGGCTCTCGTGAATAAATCACATTTGTGCAGCCAGCTGATTGCTTTGAATGAGAATGTTTCCAGGATAGACAATTATTTTCATTCTTTCAAGGTCTCTTTTCTGTCCCTTTCACTGATTCACTCAATCTAGGAGCGTTCCTGACACGCATGAGAGATTACATGCCTCCTGCCCACCGTCAGCTGATAGAAACGCTCTCCGTCTGTCCACCGCTGCGAGACTTCATCTTGTCCTGCTCCAACTCTGACCTCTGTCAGGCCTACAACTCTTGTGTCTCCGCACTGGTGGATTTACGAAACTATCACCTCAATACTGTGACCAAGTACGTCATTATTCCTGGTAACCACGCGCAATCTGTGGGCTGTCCATTCAGAGGTGTGGGTACTGCACTCAACACCACTGGGACTGGTGGATCCAACCTCATGGTCTTCCTTAAGAGTGTTCGTAACACCACTCAAAAGGCACTGATTTTAGAGAGACTATCATAGTCTAGAAACTTCAGTGTAATTCCTGGCACATATATACTGCTCCAAAAAAATGAAAGAAACATTTTTAACTCAGAGTATAGCATCAGGTGAATTAAATTTCTGGGATATTGATCTGGTCAGTTAAGTACCAGAGGGGGTTGTTAATGAGTTTCAGCTGCTTTTGTGTTAATGAAATTAACAGGTGCTTTAGAGGGGCAATAATTTGACAACCCCCAAAACAGTAATGGTTTTACAGGTGCAGGACACTAACATTTTCCCCTCCTCATCTTCTCTGAATGTTTTTTTCTGTAGTTTTGCATTTGGCTAGGGTAAGAGCCACCACTTTACTATTAGTACAAAACTTCCAGGACAGCACATCAATGCGAGCCATTGCCAGACGATTTGCTGTCTCTCCAGCACAGTCTCAAGTGCATGGAGGAGATTCCAGGAGACATACAGTTACTCTAGGAGACCTGTAGAAGGTGATATATATGCCTGATATATGTCCTTTGTGCAAGGAGGAACAGGATGAGCACTCCCAGAGCAAAATGACCTGCAGTAGGCCGCTGGTGGGAATGGCACTGCCCTGTGCTTTTCAGTAGGTTAGCCCTAAGATCATGTGACAGAGGTGAAAGGGCCTAGCAATGCAATGCTGCCTGTAACATTGTTCAGCATGACCAGTTTAGTGGTGGGTCATTTATGGTCTGGTGAGTCACATCCTTGCACACACAGACCTCTACAGGCTAGGCAACAGCATCTTGACTGCCATTAGGTATTGGGATAAAATTCTTGGACCCACTGGCAGACCCTCCGCTGTGGGTTATGGCTTCCTCCTGGTGCATGGCAATGCCTGGCCTCAGGGCGTGAAAGTATGCAGGTAGTAGCCAAAAACACAAAGCAAAAATGAAAATCAGCACAAAGACACTTCAAAACGATCGCCATAGTGATTCTACTGTAGAAACCTGAACAGGAAGAAACGGAGGCTGCTGCCTGACTTCTTATCAGTTTGTTAACTGTTGAAATTCAGGGTCACTGCTGGCCTGGGGTTGGCATTCGCTCAGCTTTCACTCTGGGTTCTTGGCTAGCTTAGTGTTAGCATGCTGTCTGGCTAGCCTAATGTTAGCATGCTATCTGTGCACGTGCTTGCAAACAGCCGATGTTGCAGCATAAAGTATCTGTCTCTGGGAATTGGTTCTTGTCGTGATTCCCATCCCTATTACCCAGTCCATATCAGTTTTCTCTGTATTATTGCCTTTACCGTACAAAAGAGGTAAAGATACTACAATTATACAGCGCCTTGAGGCAACTGTTGTTGTGATTTGGCACTATATAAATAAAACTGATTTGAAGATCGGTTTAAATATCCAGGATTTTTGAACAGTGTAAAAATATGTATTATAACCAAAACTTTTTCATACGCAACACTCTAAATGTAGTTCTAAATCACAAAAAATATCACCATCATTCAAATCAGCCAGATCTTTTCATCCGTATTGAATTTTCCAAGCACTTACCCTGACATTAGTAAATCTTCGAGTAAACTTTTGTTTTTTTAGATAAATGATTATTGGGTTTTCACTCTTTGATGCTGTCATGGATGATTTCTAGCACGAATACGTCACTACATTAACAAAGTATTCTGTTTGAAAACTGTACCTCTTTACTTTAATACTACTATCAACAATTTTTTTTATACATTTTCTCGTGGAGAATTGCATGACAAACTTGAGCTATGTTTACACCTATCACATACACACAAAAAGCTCCCTGAGTATTAACACACAGTTTTGGAAGTAAACCTGTTTCTAAGAAATGGGTTTCTCCATAGGTCACAGGACAAAAACAAACTAATGACATATAGTTAGGGAATCCAGCAGCACACATTTTCAACTTTTCCTCCAATGACCTTCCGTGTCTGCCTGAAGACCTAGCTTGTTTTGGCTTCACAGGTGTCACAGTGTGGAGTGGTGAAAGTAAAAAAAAAAAAGAACTTTTACCACAATGCTCTTGTAAGCTTACAGAGTAGTGCAAACTAGTGGAAATAATTATTTCCAATGACTGGTACCATTGTTACATCATGTTTGTGGCAACTAAAAGCTTTTAAATCTACTAATCAAAGCACACTTTATGTTTATATAATCCTTTACAAAATCAAGTAAAACAGACTATGAAACAGAGAGGCACTAAGTGTGGTGATTGTTTTATTTTCAAGTGTAATTGTGCTTGTATGCATTTGAACCCTAATATTGTTTTGTTTGTTTCTTGTTGTTTTAGCTCAACTGAATAGTTGCTGAGGCCTTATGATGGTCAAACTCTCTTATACAGAATTGCAAGGTGGAGGGGGTAGTTGTTGAATAAGTGTGTTTCCTCCATTCTGTACTCCCTTTTTCATTAATGAAACCCTCAGTGTTGCTTTATATGGTCACAGGAGAAAAAAAAGTTAGGTCTATAGCGTATAGAGACTGGTTGATAACTTCTCCCACCAGGGGTGATTTTAGCCCATTTTAGCCCATTTTTTGGGGGTGCTGAAGCAAAATCAAAGCACCACCAAAGACTTCTTACTTTTTTGACAATATTTACTGTTTGTGTGACACACTACTAAAAATATAAAAAGCATTCAGTACTTGTTTGAGACATAACATTTTAACAAAAAAAGTATAGATAAAGTAAACAGTAGCTTACTGTTGTTGCCACTGTCCTGTTTGAAATGGAATGAGAGAAGTTGGTTATTTTGTCATATGTGCATGTGCCAAGATTAAACCCAGGAACAACATTCAGGTAAAAGTGTAAGATCAAATGATCCGTCAATCAAGAATAATGTTGAATCAGTGTTTCAATATTTATATCTTTTATTAGATGTTCATGTGGTTTGGTTATTTGCCTTTTGGTTGAAAGTAAACTGAGAGAGGACTTTTTTTTATTAGTGATCTTAATAGTATTTGTTTTTACATTATTAATGTAATTTTTTTCATCTAATTGAATACAATCTATTTGTGTATGATTGTCAGTCCAAAGAGGGAGAGAGGAAAGAGGGGAAAGTGAGGAGAAAGTACAAGGTCAGGAAGAACCAGGTAAAAAAACAGACAGGGAATATTGACAGGCAAAACAGAAACTGTTAAATTGCTTGATAGAGTTGATCACCAAAAAAGTGATAGACAGATTTGCCAACCTCAAGGTGAGGCGACATAGGTTAAAATAAAATAAAAAATCTGCAGAGCCATAGTAGTATCTGCAGTAAAGATCTTTTCATAGATTGTACCACAGGCAAAGTTGCCTCCATTTTTATAATTTTATTTATCAATATTTTGTACATTCGTACATTTCAAGGACTCCATTTTTGGAGTGTATTTTTATATATCTGTATTGTATTATACATACACATTAAAAGTGAGTCTCTGTCCAAAAAATGCACTCGGTTTACTTCTTACTCACTATGATCATCATTCATCCTTTTCCCCCAGTAATTAAGGTTAGGATATGTATATATATTTTTTATTTCAATCCATTCTTCGTTTGCAGCATTTAAATAACCTTTATCTGATTTGATGGTTTTGTTACTGACTTTTAAAATAGTGTTTTGCTTTTCTTTCCCAAATATGGGGATTAAATTGTGTTAAAATGTACAAAACAGTGATGTCATGTTTTGTGACGAGGACCCAGGCACAGAAAGACTTGGTGAATTTAAGAATCTTATGATTTAATAAATAAATTTGCAGACTTACTCAGAGATGGTAAAATTATGACTGATAACGGAGACGAAGACAACAGACGATGAGGACAGGGAGGAACAGGGGTTTAAATGCACCAAGGAGACAGTCAGAGGGAACTCGGGACAACTGGAGACATTTAAGGATGCAGGGACTGACAGACACAGGGAAGACGTCTCATCGTGACGAGTAAAGTTTATCTTGCCTGGCTGGGCAGCTCTTTGGGTGTTCAGCACCCCCAAAGCTCTGATCCTAGAATCACCCCTGTCTCCCACTTCAACCACTGGTCAGCTGGTTTGTTTGTAGTTGCGGGAGGGTGCTGGCAGTGGCTTGGTAAAATTGTTTGCAATGAGATATTCCATGCAGCACTGAAAATGATTGAAAACCTGCAATTCCTTGGGTTACTAAAATTACTGTGTTTGCCTGTTATTTGCATGGAAGACATTGACCTTTCAGCAAACACTTGGAAGCTACTTGCTAAACAGTAGTGAAACAGTGAACCCAAACCCGAAGAGACCTTTACCTTCAAAGTGAAGTTTGAGTCTTTTGAAACATGTTGGCTTTAGCAGAAAATCGCAACTTGTACTTAGAGGGTGAAAATCCTCTGTATCTGGTTTGCATCACAGTTTTTCAGGTTTCACTGCCATTTGGTGGGTAGTCAGCAAGTGTTTACAGACAAGTCGACCTCTTGGAGCAAACTGTGGGCAACCATGGCAATCTGCTAAGAACCAAAACAATGGCGATGAGGGTTTTAGCTCAGAAACCTATGGCAGCCTCTTGCCAACTGGTTAGGGGAATACACATTTTTCCTAGCGACCGGAGGTTGCCAGGGGGTTGCCAACTGGTCTCTAGGCCTGTGTGAGTGAAGCCTTAATATCTCTAGGTTTGCTCCACAGAACGGTTAGGGCTAGGGTAACCATCTAACATTTAAAAGACATACAGTAAGAGAACACTGAATCACCTTCATTTGAAAATGTTTTAATTGTGATGTAGAAACAGTAGAAAAATGCATAATATTGCACATAATCACTAAATTGCACTTTTCCAAGGTACAGATCTTTGCATGGAGATTGTTGACCTGAATAATGTAATCTACAGTGTAATCTAACAATGGGAGGCCAGTGAGAGTCTACCTGACAATTCTTGTACAATTCCATTCAATTATTTACATGACAGCTGCTGTTATGAAGTGACTAAAGGAATTTAATAAATGCCTGCTTTATAAAAGCGTGCAAGTTTAGTGTCATTGCTACATCATCTGTGTTTTATTTCTGTTTTTTTCCCCTAGTTGACCAAAGCTGGTGGACACAAGTCCTTTCTGCTGTAAGATTGCTACCATTACTTCTTTAGCACTGTATATAGCCCTTCTGCTCTTGCTGCAAGTTCAGTGCACAGTTGTTTGTGTGGGTTGGTGGACATGTGTTTGGCGTTCAAAAGTTATTTTTTTTCCCATTTTACTAAATTGATGAGGATAAATAAATGTTACAAAACAACAGTTGGATTGTTAAAGTAGCTAACTGGACATGAGACAAGTGGCTTAAAATGTATTAGTTTCAAGATTTCACATCTTTGCTGTGACTGAGAGCCAAGACAAACTCTTGGACTCAAGAGAAATGTCAAAATAGCTTTTACTTTCTGTCTGAACTGTTAAACAAAACAAGCCAATAAAGAAATACTCAAAATAAAAAGCAAACAGTGTTATCATAGAAAATACTCTGCCATACAAGTAGTCAAAACATTATATATGCTGTTTAAAAAAATCTAACCCAGAATACTGTATTTTTTTATCTATTGTACCTGCTTCAAGAGGAGGGGCCCAAACATACATATTTTTAAAAATTCATTTCACAGTACTTTGCTATAAAGATGAACATATTCCAAAGTATACACTCTGAATATTTCGTGTCACTCCAAGAACAGAAAATGACAGAATGACTAAAGCAAAGATGGTCAGTTGCACCATAAGCTTAATAAAAAGCTACAAAAGAGAGAAAGAGATAAAGGTGTTACAATAAGAGGAAGGACAAGGAGGAGTTATTAGCAAAGGCAAGGAGATGTTCTGTCAGACAAACAAATTACACAGTATGCTAACAGATAAGGAGGAACAGGAGGGGATAGTAGGGGTTATAAGAACAGCGCTGACATAAAGTCATATAGCGTTTCAGTCTTTTACACATGCTTCTCTCAAAAGTCAAATGTTTGTGCTTTCAGGAAGTGGGGGATGGGGGGCTGATGTCCGTTTAAAGATTAGAGCTTCACCCATTAAAAGACCCTCCACATGGCTCCTCCTCTTGTTGCCAAGCAATATACTCTAAGGGGAAAAGACCAAAGTGCATTGCATTCATTGGAAGGTGAAACAAAGAGATTTCAATATAAAGTGAGAGGTGCATTGAGCCAGTACGTGAATAACGGCCATTTTTACACAGATTTTAAAAATATATGCGCAAAAATGTATGTCAAAGCTCACCTAGTTTTTGCAGATGTGTGTCGATCCTGTCCAGCAAACATGCCAGAAAAGGTAAGACTGAATCTAAAATGTTTTTATTTTTTATTTTTTTGGTCTCAAGTCCCCAGGTGACATGGTGTGGAATCTCAACACAGAACCTTAAATCACGTGGTTTCCATTCCCATGTGTTGATTACCCCATCTGAATATTCCTTCAGCAATTTTGAGAATAACAGGGGTATTAACGTGCCCAAGAAAATGGTCGTTTCCAAAGGCTTCAGGTTTTATTTAGAGGAACCATAGTTTCCATCGAGCATGCTTTTTGGATTCTGTCTTCGACTTGCGTTTCGGAGTAGATGTGAAAACTTCATTGGAGTAAGGCAGAGCAGGGCACTGTTGGCTGTCCAGGGGACAAAGTCTCTTCATCAGAGGCTGTAGCTTGTCCTCCTGCAGCTTAAAGTCCAGCTCGACACTGTAACACAAGCATATCAGGTAGAATTACAAAATATTTCAGTTTATTTATTGTAATTCTTCACTTAAAGTAATGCTAGAAAAAAATCATCTGTTCCATTTAAAAAGTTAGTGGTCTGTAAGTTGTGTGGCTATAATATTTATGACTCAGCTTTTGACTTATTTTTTTATGTTAGTAATCCATAAAAATCCACGGCCAGATGGAGGCAGGGAGGGAGGCCGAGGTTCAAATGCACTGACAGACACCCTGGCAGCACATATTAGTTGCGGCACATATCCATATTTCTGAGACGACTCTGAGTAATAGAGTTCCTCTACTTCATCTTTGCATTTTTTAATGCATACAGTCAAAGGGCTTTTAGATTATATTGGAATGAATAGATTATATTGGAATAATAAAAAAAAAGAGACGGAATGTGGGTTGCTCCTGACATCAGACTTTCACATCCGCAAGTGTAATCCCAGGCCGGTCATCGTCTGATTTCGTTCCGACACCATAGTTCAACCCTCTCTCTGATTAAATCTCTCAGGCCTGAGAGGAATGTGGGGATTAATCCCATCCAAATGAAACCACTGAGAGGCCAAGCAGACCCTGATTAACTGCATGTATTCAAGCAGGAGATAAATGCACCATTATACGCCATCTCCTTTCACTTCATTGCTATTGATTTGTAGAGGGCATGTATTTATTCTTAGGGCATGCGATAAATTCTGAAGGCATCATAGTTAAAATCAAAGATAATTAATCTCTGTACCTGCGACAGTGATACTCTGCAGCAACCCTTACCTGGTAATCGAATGTTAAATTGCTTTTTGGTTTGGAGTTTCTTTTTTTATTCATCCTCATTTTCTTTTATCGCTAAAATTGCTCAACACGCTGCTTTTAAAAGACTCAGGGAATACTACGACTTACAAAGCTCATTCATGTCAAAGTAAAGAGGATTATTGGGTGAGAGAACTAGAGCTGCCAAAGGAGATGACATCCGACAAGTCAAGGTCAAACATGAGGTCCATTCCTTGTCTGCATGCAGAGAAACTGACGGTAAGGTGCAAAGCCTGGCCCAATTTGGTAAGCGCTTTGATGGGCAGTGTAATTAGTTGCCTAAAGGATATGCTCTACTCATATTGACATAATGAATCCTGGGAACTGTCCTTACCCTTAAGATAAGTGTCAGTTATGAACAGTGCTCTATTAAAGCCTTCAGGGGAGAAACTGGATGGATGTCTGGATAGTAGTTTGGCAGGTCTGAACTTCCAATGAATCAATATGTTAAATTTAATGAAAAGCAAGCAATAAGGAGTTTCTAAAATCTAACATCATTATTAATACCAAAAATATATTTTTAAGCATGTGCTCTCTTAGTTGCACTTTTTCTTATTTCCACTGGAAACGAAAGCTAGCAATTGCAGGTCTCCAAAATACTGAGTCCCTCACAAAGGGAAGACTATCCTCTATCTTTCTAAAACTGCTGCTTCTAGCAGTATGCGATGAGCATCTCTTATTTATATCATCCATTGTTTCGTTTCCTCTCCGTTATCTCTATTTGTATCTTTTGTTTTATGTTAAAAACTTTTACAAGTGCTGTTTAAATAATGTTGACTTGACAGAAAGCAGAGCAGAACAGCGAAACACAGAATCGCCTCAGAAATTATTAAACAATTAATCACTTGGCAGATCACTACAATTACTGCACGCTGTGGACAAATGCCTCTATGGGAAGCCAGAGGCAGCGCCGTACGATGCGGGTGGCACTGGGGAGCAGGTGCTTCAGCAAACAAAAAGCCCTATATCTAAGATCATCTCTGTACACAACAGATTGAAGCGGCTGGAGACAGGGAAGCTTTTCTAGGGCATTCACCAAAGCAGATTAATCATCTCTTTAGCTATGCAGTGTGAGTAGCTGTTGCTCTGATCAGTGGCGAGCAGTTTGTTTGTCTGCGGTCGTGGTGTGCTGAGCACCATTCAATGATTGTTGCTCCTGGGAGGGATACTGCAGCCGTGAGATGTCTTTTTAGCATAGCACAGTCTATTCATTCAGCAGTGTACACCTGCTTGCTTCTATTCTCTGTTCTTTCTGCTGCTGGCACCTTTCAATGTAAAGTCATTTCCCCTCCTATGATTTCCCCTTCGGCCATTCACAGTTCAAACTCTCCACTTGACAAAATGAGCGGTTCAGGCCCAGCAGTGTAACATCCTCAGAACTGCATGATGGGGCATCATAGATAAATCACCAGAGAATGACAGTCATTTCCTCTGCTGACAGGCAACAGTTGAAGCAGAAACTAACTTCCCACAGGTTTACTACAGTAAATGACATGTAGAAAGTCTCTCCCTGTCATGTATATCGGAAATAAAAGCCTCTGCTGTTGTGCTACACTGTTTTCTGCTTCAAAGATGCATGGAGAAATAAAAAAACAATCTAATTAATGAGCATAGAACAGGCAATCTTGACAATTGTTCAACAAAACAACCACAGCTCCGCTATCTCAGCATGGGACACAAGTGCTAATTAGCTCCTTGCGTCTCATCATATTGAACTGCAGTTGCTTTTTCCTGAACTTAACTGTTCTTCAAAGTCATTGTTAGTTCCAAATTGGAAACACTACATTATATACTTTTGTTTCAAATGCTGGGTCTTAGTCAACACAGCGGTGGCAGGAATAGAAGCTGTTAATGCTTTGATCTGAGCATGTTTTTTCTGATATGGGCTTCCTGCTGTAGTCTAGGTTGACTCAGTGGTAGGCCTCATATAATTTGCAACTGATGCTCTTGTAAATCCTCTTTGAACACACGCAGGTAAGTATAGCAAGAAAATATAAAGCGTTGAAG